AGTACCTCACGGGTACTTCATTACCACTATGAAGCAGATAATTTCGTTTGTTTCGGTTTCTAAACTTGAACGTATTTGAGTTTATGTTTATATAATATTTTCAGTTTCCCGTACTTAGACAGTGATCATTGTATGTCCTAGGGTATGTCTTTGTTATATATGTGAAGATTCTTCATCATACGAGAATTTATTTTCCCTTCTTTGTTCCTAAGAAGGAATTGACTTTTTTGTTCTATCCTCCCTTCCCCACTCAAAAGAAAAAATAGTAGATGGAAAACAGTCCAAGAACTATTTTCTTTGTGTTTTTGGTGCAGGCTAACCCAGAAGCATTCTCTTGACCTCCTGTGTCTTAATTGTTTCCAGGCCAGTGACATATCAGTCTCTTTCCAATATGCCTTTCCATCTGTGAGACCATGTGAACATTTGTACATATACCAGTGTATGTTATCCCACTGCCCCAGCATGTCTGTTTGCATTCTGATGAAACAGCTATTAAAATGCAGTACCGAATCTCTGTCTATTGCTTTGACTCTAGGGCTAATTCTGGCGAATAAGATACAATCTCAATTTAATACAGGTGAGCAGAGATAACAGAAAGATGGAGATCCAGGAAGACAGTGGATTTCCTTGAGATCACTTTTAATTGTCTGGAAAGAATAGGTCATGCTGAAGCAATTTAGCCTTTAACCACTAAAGGCACTATTTGTAATGGTCTGATGTGCCCCCCTTTCCTCCAGTCACCCCCTCCAGTTGCAGCCACAAGAAATACTTGCAGCCCGACTGCTAAGTTCTAGAGAATAATTGTTTGGATAAAGAGAGCTTGTCGGAACTTTTTCTGCAGCCTTGTTATGTACAAAGTCTGAGCCTCTCCTGATGCTTCATTTTCAAACCTGAAGGCATCAAGGGGCAGCTGGGTCATCTTTGTTTTACACTCTCTTTTTCCCAACTGACAGCCTCAACTAAAGCTTGCCCTTTTAACAAATTAATTCTGCAGAGAAGTCCCACTGTGCAGTTGTCCCTGAAATGATTTATTTTAAAGAATAATTTTAGTGTGCTTGTTTAAAATGGCTCATGGGAAAATCTTCAACATCCCGAATGTTTTTCGAAATGGGTTTCCCTCCTTCTGTAACAGTATTGATAGGGCTGGCAATAGGAGAGGTTACAATGTAAATGACTGGGGCCTGAACCCAGGAAGAAGCCCCTCAGTTAGCAAGCTGGAAGTTGTTTGAAATGGGAAAGGCAAAGGGAAGTCTTTGCCTGAACATCTGTGACGCCCACTACGAACTGGTTACTTCCAAGTTCTGAGATGCTTCCACCCATAATCAAGGGGAACAAAACACTCTCCAAGACACAGTGCACCAAAAACTCAATTATTTTTCCATAATAGCCTTTAATACTAAAATGCATTAAATTTTTGAAGCAGAGAAAACACATTTAAGAGGGAAACAGAGAACCACCAGATAAAAGGAAACAATGTGGCAGGTAACACCATTTAAAACAGAACTGTAATAATTTAATAAAGCTGCTTTATCATCTTCATAAAATAGACAGAGTGGTGGTGATTCTTTTTTGTCTTTTTTGTTTTTACAATGATTCAATCACTGTGAAAATGTACATAACATACAGATCAGCATATACAACCATTTCATCTTCATATAATCAGCAACAGAGACTGCTTAATGAAACGTACTGTACTTGTATCCTTCTAAATTGCCACCATGGTTTGACAGGTAAACAGTAATAGTGTCATCAGGCTCATTCCCCTCACTAGAGGAGCGAAGGCTTAGCCTTTTGCAACTAATACCTTAGCATTCCAATAGCACAAGGAGGTATTTGTTGCTGAATTTCTAGCTAGACCTAGTCTGGCCCTTGGTCATTAGTCTGGATCTTAGCCTTCCTCAGCTGAATGCCAGCCAGTGCCAGTAAACATCTACTTAACTGGTGCTGTAAAGTGTTAGCTGGTTTGTTTGCTAAGGTTGACAGCAACATTCAGTTAGTAACAAGGTCATCTTTAATTGCCAACACAGCTGGAGCAACAGTCAGCATCATCAGATTTCCCTAATGACCTACAATGCTTTCCACTCAAGGTCAGGTGTTTCTAGGTTGTTCTTTACCAAGCGCGCCTTACAACGTATACTTCAGACAAGGTGGTTGATTTTCTTTGTTTTACAAAAGCAATGTGATTCCTATTTGCAATTAATTCACTTTTGCACGACAAGTGACCCACAGGCCAATTTCAGTTTCACAAGAAAACAAAGAGAACTGCAACAACTTCATTAGGACAATGTGTTTTGCTCTGGAATATTTCATTATCAATATAAAGCCACCCAGTCCCAGTCCCACCCCCATACATCCCCTTTGAATATTACTTTGATACATACTTAAACTAAAGAACAACATCTCAATACACTTTAGTGTCAGCAGATACAATTTGACTCATGAAATGACATCCTTTAAATGTAATTTTACCAAGAAGGCAAACACTAGGACTGTATACAATGGACTTCTTCAGCTCATTTATGCCAGTTTTTCAAAGTCAGAAGGGTCTTATTACCCTGTGAAAAGAGCCAAGCAGACCAGACTTGTCGAGAGTGCCTTGGGGGAACATCTGGCATCAAAATGATCCCCATAAAATGGATTATGTACAGTAATAATCCTTTCTCCGCCTTGGATGCCCAAAAAAAGCTATCCCTTCCATCCCTGCCTCTCCCAAACTGCCCCGCGTCTTTCTACACCAAGTAGACCACTTGTGTTTGCTTTTTAGTGGTAGGTGTAGAGAAAAAAGTCCTCTGAATTCCCCTCTAATAGCCATATGCTGAGACGACAGGATCTGGAAGGTATTCTGTGTGGTTTTATTTTCAGAGTTCAGAGTAACATCTTTCATTAATGAACAGCTGGTCACCATGTCAACAAATTTGTATCAATGTCCAGCTTAGGTGTAGTTAGTCCTATGAGGCAAGTTTCCTCTGGATCATTGTCTCATCAGTATCTCCTAGGCATCTGTAGATAGGAAAAGAAATCCTACCCCCAAACAACTGCATAAGAAACGCTAAGGATTAGGCTCTACCAAACTGTGCTTTAACAAGCCCTCAAACTTGAGTGGGCAACTAACTCATGGATTTCTGTGCCAATTCCTCCAGATTTCTTATACAGCCATTCTAGGCAGGGATCAAGACCTATCATTTCAAGAAGTGCCTAAGTGATGTTGCTTTGAGATGATATTTTGAGAACCACTGTTGTGCAGGAACTACTACGTGATTCCTTAACCAAGACAGACCCTCACTTTTTCTACTGGCTTCAGAGGAACAATGAAATACTAAGTTTCATTCTGAACAGGTTAATTTACAAGACTGCACAGGTGGGAACAAGTTTCCACAGGGCATTGTGGATCACTTCTCCCCATTTTTTGCTGAATAGCGTGTTCCCATGTTTGGGAGAAAGCAGTCAATCAATGCAAATTAGATGCACTATACTGAATAAAGACATTTACCTGGCCAGGAAATTTTTAAGCATGTTACACTTCATGGCCCAGGGACATCAGAATAAGTGGAATAGAACTCCCTAGGACTTGGGAACTAAAATTGTTCCCACGTGTTTCTGTGTAACATGTTTGCAGAAAGAAAGGGAAAAAATATTTGCTCCACTGGCCTTGGTAGCTTTACATCACATATGTTAAAAAAGGGAGTGGGAGAATCCCGAGTCCGTGGGGAATTTAAGACCCTTGCACAAAAGTCCTATTTGCAAGCACAGTTGGCCTGTAGAACCTGCCTACAAAGCTCTCCTAGGATGCGCTTGCACTTCCATCAGACAATTGAAGGGGGAAAGATACTTCCTTAATGAGGATTCTTATGCATACTCAGTAAAGAGTTCTGAAACAAAAAGCAAAAAAAAAAAAAAATATCTCTGACTGCCTGCTGAGAACAATGATTTTAGATAGACTAAGCTTGGAACTGAAATGAAATTCCGGGGACAAAATTTTTAGTTTCTTTTTTTTAAAGGCAAAAAAACAAATCACTGCTAATGCCACCCGTTTTTTAATTGGCTGGTAAGACACATGGCAGGCAGTGGCCTCTCTGCATTCCACCATTCCATCTCCACTTTCCACAATCTTTCAAACTACCTCGTTTCCACTGAGCAGAGTAAGAAATCCACCTGGAGAAAGCTGTCCAATCTGACTACAAAGTGACCTTGAGGTGCTAGCAAACAAGATACTCTCCGATGGATCCTGGTGAAGATCAGTCTCAATTCTATAGGCAGCCATCCCAACTTAAAGGGCACTTTTAAAAAGCTAAATATGTTAATCAAATAGTCACTTGGAAGGAAAAATAAATACCTAATTTATAATCTACTACCACCAAAATGAAATAAACCAGAAGAGGAGAACATATATGAGAGAAAGTTAAATGAAGCAAGAGGAAGATGTAAAGGTCTCTAACTGTGTCAGGGAGAAATTTGCAGCCAACCCAATATTTTGCATGAGGTAGTATTCAGGAAATAAGGATGGATTTGTAGCTTCATTATATGTTTCTTTTATCCCCAGAAATATTCTCCCCTACCTAACCCCATGCCCAGTGCCTTACCCACCCCTTTCCTTACAACCCTCCCACCTCCCACAAAAGAAAAAATTCCTAGTAATGTATAAAGCTAGGAACTCAGATAAAAATAATGAAAATATTTCAAAGAGCTGACTGTATCTACCTAAACTTAAGAAAATAAATTCTGTTTTGAATTCTAGTGTTCTAACTTCTAGACTTTCTTTCTGAGTGTTCTTGAATTACAAAAAAAAAAAATGAGAGATAAGGGGGAAGGAGGGAGGGAGGGAAGGACGGGGTAGGGAGGGAGGCAGCGAGGGAGGGAGGGAGGGAGGGAGGGAAGGACAGGGGAGGGAGGGAGGGAGGGAGGGAGGGAGGGAGGGAGAAAAAGAGAGGAAGGAACCAAAAAAATTGTTTCTTAAGAAGAAATTCCTTTAAGACAAAAGTAGAGCAAAGAGGACATGTTTTTTTAGTTTATTTTAAATAATGAACTCTTAGGCTGCAAGAATACTATGTTGGCTAGTGAATATTAATAGACAGATAATAAAAAGGGGCATTTGTGCACTGTTAAAAAGAACAAAAAGAATGGGTGCTCTGTTAGTTTAAAAAGGCATATTCCTAGCCTACAGCAAAAAAGAGTTACTAAATCTAAGGGATTTTTGTTTTAATAATTTCTTGTTCACATTTTTAATCAAAAAAGTGTTAGTCATAAAAAGACGTGTTCAAGTGTCTGAGTGTCTCCGTTTAGAAGGCACAGTAATTAGATCAGTGATGTTAGTACCTGGCTTTTCCTAAGTGTACACTTCATACTGCTTACTCTATCATTATTTATAAGCCTAAGGTAAAGAGCAGCATGGAGCCCTTGATTCCAGCCCATGATGTGCTTTACCATCTAATTCCAATCATGATTGGGAAAACACTGAATCAGGAAGTGTGTGTCTAAAGAGATGGTAATTTAGATCTCAAAATAGACTCAGTCATGTTGCATGATTTTTAGATGATTGGAGACAGGGAATTTCTCAGCCTGAAAACTGATAACATCAGGAGTAACTTTCCTGTTCAGGGTCTGAAAATTAGAAAAAAAATAATGCATCTCATAAAATTTTCAGCACAGTATTTCTGACAACTGCAAATTAGATAGCAGCATATCCAAAAATGACTTTCTACAATGATCTCGCACAGACCCGGGCAGAAGACTGAAAGACAGGAGAAATCCTCTGGAAGGTAGTGAGCAACCACTACATGGATTAAAAAAAAGTGAGTATCCAAGTACTCAACCTCTAGGTGTAGTGTTGCTCATTTACCTGCTGTCTCAGTTTCTGCATTTTGTTTTTGTCTGTATTTTTATTATTTTTTTAAGAAAAGAAAACGTCAACCTTTAAAAGCCTTTTGCCATCACCACACACATAGCAATTTGCAATATCAAATACAACAACAGCACAGCTAGCAAAAGGGTTCTTAAAGCAGGGGAGTCCACAGCAAAGAAGCGGCATTGGAAAGTACTCGAGCTTCAGAAACAACCTTTTGGGGGCTCGATTTCACGTCACTGAATCAATGAATAGTACACAATAAATGACCAATAACTTGTCTACACTACAAAAAACAGTGGCGAGCTTATTAAAGGTGTCCAGAGGGGTTTTTTTTTTCTTTTTTTTTCTTTTTGCTTTTTTAAATGTAATTCTTCACAAACAATGGTAATTTATATTATCATTTTGACATAGAAAAATATATAAATTCAAACACTTAATACATAATACTTTTCACAACTGAATTTGCCTCTGTTTCCCCACCATCAAGGCCCCATGAACAACTCAAGCCAAAGCTAATTTGCTCCAACTGAACACCCCTGCTGCCTGCTGAAACGAGAGGGATTGTCACGGAATGATAGTCATTTATACACAATACGTTTTGGGAAATCTCTACAGTGCAGCCACTCAAGAACCAACCATGGGTGAGGAAAATGAGTAGATGCTGCATCTTCACTAGCCAGTGTGATTTCTTTTCTTTTCTTCTTCCCCAGATGGGTTTACAGAATGATATCCTTCAGACGCTTCACGACAGGAGACTGCTTGTCACGCCCTTCCTTCAGAATAGGATTGACCTCATGCATGACTTTCTCACTGTCGGCTCCACGGGGTTCAGCTTCAGAAGGACGAGAGGCGCCATTGTTGGCATGGTGCTCCAGATCACGAGCTGGAGGAACCAGGGCGACCGTGTAAGACATAGTAGGCTTGGTAGGCAGAGGGCTCTTGAGATGCAGTGGGGAGGTGACAGGGCTAATAGCCTCACAGCCATTGCCTGCCTCCCGGATAGCGCTGTTGACTTTGGGGCTGCAGATGGTCACATCGACAGTCCTCTTGACTTTCAGGATGGGCCGCTCCTCAGCCCGGTGGGTGTTGACATCTTTTCCAAAGGTTGCGAATGTCCGCTTGGTGGGGCCGCAGTCGTCATAAGGCTCAATATCAGCAGCAGTAGCTTCAATGGACAGAGCGATGATGTTCCTCACGTGTTCAGGAGACTTGGAGCGGATGGGCATGGGATTCCGTGGCATCCAGCATCTATCAGAGTGGCCAAGAATCCGGCATTCCTCCCTGCAATGAAATCCTTCATTCTGATCTGTAAAAAGAAAAGGAAGATATCAATTTCATCAGCTTTTTTTCTAGTAATCACTGCAACCCCACAGTGTTCTGGTCTCTCTGATACCCACAGGCCCTTTTGGGAAATAGCACTTTGGATAGTCCTTTATTGCCTTTTGGGACTAATGTGGAGAAAATGGATTTTTAAAAAGCTATAGATCTCCCTCTAAACATTACTTGTTTTTTATGATCCTCGCTGTTCCCACTGCTGACAAAACAAAAATCCTAAAAAGAAACAAGTTATGATGAAAACGTATTTTTAAAAGTTTATCCTGAGAGCTAGCATGTGGAGAGTCAGCAATTTTATCAACACCTACTGCTAAAAACCACCGATGTTTGAAGGTGCACTCAACAGAAGAGGACATGGTAACAAGGGAGGAAATCAAATGTTCACTTTATCAAAGAAACTTGAACACAATTTTTATGAACACTATTAGCATCTTTCCATCTTACCCATCATAGATTACTGTGAATTCTACTTGAAAACCTAATACATAATTTCTTTTTGACCACCAATTCCCCCAAGAAAGCACTTCATTATGACATCACAATTACCAGATTTCTTATCAGAAGGAATACACTGTGACCTCTTTTTTCCAGAGAACTCACAGGCTTCAATTAGCCCTACACACACACACACACACACACACACACACACACACACACACACACACACTCATCCCTCTTATATGTTTGGGGTCATTTAATTAGCCACAAACTAGCTCTTTCTCCTTATTTGTTTGAATTTTCACTTTTACTAAGGACTTACTTTGTAATGAAATATCCATGGCTAGTAGGAATGCGAATTACAAGAGCTATGAGGGAGAACAAAATAGAAGGTTCCTCAAATTTATATAGCAGAAAAACTATTTAATCTACCTCTTTCTCATTTCTGGACATATATTATTGTCATGAAGATGCACCATGACCACGGCAACTCTTATAAGAATGGTCATGGTGCATCTTCATGGCAATAAAACACTAACTAAGACAACCACAAAAATATATACAGTCTATCCCATGTTACTAAAACATAAATATTTTGCTGATTGGATTAGACATACTATAGAAGTTCTCAATAGTTAGAATCCACAATGATTACAATAACATATTTTTATCTTTCCAGCTCTGCTTTATTCATGACTAAGTCTTTTATATGGCTCTCAGAAGCCTACAAAGATTACATTACTAAAGCATGGATAAAGGGTTAACAAGAGCCCGATCACTGAATAAATATGAATTAAAATAGTTTGTTTATAGCCCTAATTTTCCAGCTTAATTGATGTTTATGACATTCTTATATAAAGATGACCTAATAAAAATTTTCATAATATTTTACAATGCCTCACAATATGATCAGCTTAATATTTACAAAAATAAGACTCTGAGGTAGGACTGGAGGAGGTAGAAAGGCTAGAAGAAAAACAAAGGCAAAGTAATTAATATTCGAATTCATATAAATTAAGTATAAGTGTGTCTAGTAGAAACAGAAAGTCCTTGGGTTGCTGTAAATCTATAGACACCTCATCAGATCTGAATTCCTCTTATATAAGAGGCAAAATTAACTCTCCTTTATTTAGGCTATTTATTTTCTTTAGTGGAGTCTTTATTTCTAATAGATAAACATACCTCATGGTGGATAACATTATTCATGAAGTCTCAATTAGAATTTCACTTTCTCAACAGTCTAAGGAATCACTCAATAATCCCTTAGACTAAGGGCTCATAGAACCTCACTTTCATAGCACTCATCCCACTTGAAATTGTTTATTTAGGTCATGTAAGTTTTGCTTGCTTTTTGAAGCTCTAAATGAGCAAAAACTATGCCAGTTTTGTTTTCCGCTACCCAATAAAGCTAGCAAAAAAAGCCACTACAGAGTAATAGTGAATAACCGTTTAACTTAATGGAATAATAAAAAGTACAGAAAGAACAAAAAGAAATCTAGATTGATCCTCAAGATACTATGCCACTCATGTAACTCCTAAAATTGGAATTAAATGTTCTAACTAATAGAAACAGTTTAGAAACCTAAAAAGCAATCTGTGTCATTTTGTCAAAGGCAATAAAAGTAGAACTTGAGAAACATTAGTCAAGTGACAAGTGGTTTTGGAAGGTTCTAAAGAAATCTTGTATGCATTTGACATCCATTTGAAAATATAATTATTTCAACCTGGAAGTTTTCTATACTAACAATAGTTAGCATGGAATCTATTGTGATAAATTAAGAACTTTTAACTTAGTTTAAAAGTGTAGTTTATGAATTTAATGTGTTGTTCAAATATCAAACACTGTTTCTTAACATCTAAAAAATTGTCATTGATTCCCATAAAATATAAGACTAATATGACCAGAGATAAATCTTTCAGATCTACAGGAGTAGTTGGTATACTCTGGCAAACTTATTACTTAAAAAATATTACAAGACTTCATAACAAAGTTCATGTATCAATCTATTGTGCAAGGAAATGACCAAAAGGAAGAATTATTCAAGAAAGAATTCTTTTTTATTGATTTTTATTGAGCTCTACATTTTTCTCTGCTCCTTTCACTGCCTCTTCTCTCCTCTTCAACCGTCTCCCAAGGTCCCTATGTTCCCACTTTACTCAAGAGATCTTGTCTTTTTCTGCTTCCCATGTAGATTTCTTAAAGGCACTTTCAAAGCTTTCAGAGCCTGAAGAAAGAACATCTATTCTGTTTCTATAATGTGACAAAGCATGCAGAGTACTATTGAGCTCAATGGAAAAAGCATGAACAGGAAAGTTGAAAACCAGCTAAGGGCAGGAAACACTGTGGAACTCAGACATTATATGTTTGCTTGAGTCTGAGTAATAGTTTGAGAACTGACTTTGCTTAGGTGTTCAGAAACAGGAGAAAAGGACCTTCCAATAGCTGAAAAAAAATCAATAAAGACTTAAGGACAGCATCTCAAAGCCATAGGGGAGAGGAATTACACTCATTTCATAAAGAAAAATTTAACCATTGAAGATAGTATTCCATCTGTAAACATGTAAAGGGATATCCATGAAGGCTGATACAGTTTTACAGACTTAGAAGCCAATAGTATGAAGCCATCCTGTAGTCATTTTAATTCTGATGAAACTTGCATTACAGATTTTTCAACAAATAGCTACTTGTATCTCACTCCCGTATGCCTTTCTTCCTTCCCTAAATCATTCATTTTATTCTCCACTTCCCTAGCCTCTTACTTCTTAGCAGTCCTTAGCCCCATAGCACTATGCTCTGATACACAGCAGACAGAAGCAATAGGGTGGCATAATTGTGATTGACATTTGAAATACTGATGGGCAATTATTTGACAGATGTCAGAAATTGCGCTCTGCAAACCAGTCTTTATCCCATGCAGAAAAACCCTATACTTTTCTTTTATTTAGATATACACATTAAGAAATACCAGTGGTAATAAAAGGGTCCTTTGTCAAATTCAGACAATCTTTTTCCTTTGGTAACTTAGAAGAACACACACCAAGCCCAAATTTTATGGAGTAAGAAAGAATAAACACAGCTTCTGGTGGAGAAGGGTCCAGGTGGGAATGGGATATTGAAACAAAGTTATTGAGAATGCCAAAATGATGCTGCCAAAAACAGAGACCAGAAGAGAAAAAAGCCAGGCCTAATAGCCTAGCATGGCCTTTTCAGAATGGTGGAGAACACTGGGAATTCTATAAAGGTTAGTTTTTGTCTGACACAGGGAAGGCAGATGAAAGGGCTGGTGAATTCCAACTTCATCCCAGACAATTTGACAGATCAGCATTCATTATCAAGGGCCACCCAATAGCCAGCCTCTGATGCCAAGTGGTACATAACCCTTTCTCTTCACCTGCAATTCACTTACTACCAATGGAACATGGAAAGAAATTTAAAATATGGCCCTTTCAGAATTCAAAGAAATTGAATTTTCTCCACTGGAATGTTTAGTGCTGAGCTGGTTAAAGAGACAAGTTAAAACATATTGAAGTCTACGTGCTTGGGAACTTAATATTTATGATGGATGACAGTGTGGCATGTGCAGTTCATATGATCTAAGTTGCAATTTGGGCAATTACAGTAGTTCCCGGCATTTTCATTTTTGTACTGGTGCTCCATTCAATTCAGTCCATAAAGAACAGATATCAATATGTGTATAAGTATAAATCATTTGTGCTGATTCATGGGGGGAGCAAAGAACTGAAGCAAAGGGCTACAAAGAAAATTGACACAGAAAAAGAAGTTGTGACAGTGACTGAGACTAGCAGAGACTGAGTGGACTAAGATCTTTGTATGTGTCTTCTGTGATAAAAAAAAAAAAACTATGTGACAAAGTGCTGGGCATGATCTAAGTGCCTATAACCCACTTAAAAAGGCATCTTTACAGGTGAAATATGAGATGACACAGGTCGATGAACTATTCTTTACAATATGGAGCACCGAGGCACAGCAATGAATGACATGAGACTGTTTTCAAGGGTCTCGCTGTAAGATTCCCACAGAACCTAGCCCTTTAGCCCATACAAGTAGAACTCTTTTTTTTAATTTATTTATTTATTAAAGATTCATGTCTCTTCCCCACCACCACTTCCCATTTCCCTCCCCCTCCCCCAATCAATTCCCCCTCCCTTGTCAGCCCAAAGAGCAATCAGGGTTCCCTGACCTGTGGGACTCTTACAACACCTAGTCAGTTCTCTGAAGAATTCAATCCATTTATTAGCTTTTGTGTAGATTAAGCAGTCAGATCATTTCATACACTCAGAAAGTATTCGTGCTGCTGGCAATGTGGGCTCTTTACATTGTGCTTACCAGGAGCTCTGAACCTAAACTAGCTATAATTTGGTCTTGTCAGAAAAACAAACAAACAATTATGAAATTGTGCAAAAGCCACTTGGTGATGGATTTGAGCTTTTGAGTGCCTGAGACAAAAACACACGGTAAGGACAGCATAAGTAATGTTGGCAGCGAAAGCAAAAAGACAGGTTATGTTAACC